TATTTCTTCGCCTCGACGAAAACTTACAGCAGCTACACCGTGGGTGGTAGCACCTCTTCGCTGCGGCGAAGCTTATCCTTCGCCCCGGCGAAGACCGTAACATCAAGATTTTGCCAAGTCTTTACAATTCCAGGGCAACCACTCAACCAAACCAAACAATTAACAACATACAAACTCAAATGAGGATAAAGCCATAAACATTCAATCTATTTATCAAATCTTAACTACGTACCTCATGTGGGGCGTTACAAGTGGACTTGCGAGTACCCTTTTCTTTAAGTTAATTTTAATTTTTAATCTTTTCCAATCAATAAAAAATTGAATGATCTAAAAAGTAAAACATCATATTTTATAATAGACATGGGCAAAACAATTTAGTCATCAATCAACCAAAAATTAAATGTTCCAAAAAGTAAAACATCATATTTCGTTATAGACATGACCAAAATAATTTAGTTTAATCAACCAAAAATTAAATGATTCAAAAAGAAACACTTCTACAAGAGGTTAGAGGCACAATTACATTTCCAAATAACACTTCAAACAAAGTTCATTACATTACCAAATAACCAAATAACACTTCAAGCAAATTTAAAATTAATTAAATAATTTTTTTTTTTAAATTGCAGGTACCCGCAAGTACACTCGGTCCACTCACAGAAAAAGGGGTTAAACTGGGTACGAATAATTTATAAACGGATCCTAAATTAGTAACTCGTACCCGTTTGTTATATGGGTACCCATGGGTTTTGTCGGGTCTATTATAGATAAACCAAAACCTTAAGCACTGTTAGTACCATTAACTCAATTATCTTCCGCTACACACATAAAAAAAAAAAAAAAGGGTATTATGTGACCTCCCCCAAAGTTTCATAATTTATTGTGACAGCCCACAAGTATTAGATGTCTTCAATGTCTTCCCATCACATTTCATAAAATTGTCACTTACCTCCCTTCTGACTGTTAAGTGAAGAAAGTGCTTGTTTAGAAAATTAAAATTTCCATATTACGCCCCACCCTCGAGATATAAACACAAAACTTGAATTGCGGTTGATGTAACTTGAATTTAAAAGTGGGTTGTGATGATGTTTGATTTTGACACCAACAACTCGCACATACAAAGTGCTAAGTTTTTCTTAGAAATTACATGTGAATGATTCATGAGAAGTGTTTATGGTGTTGAGATGATATATGCTTGCAGAAACATAAATACAAGATTGGTAAGAGAGATTTTTATAGTAGTTCGGACATCCACTGTGATTTTATTATTTTCTGACTATTTTTCTGATATTACCTGTAAGGTCTACAAAAATAGAGAAATGCTTTGTTTACAGAGAAAAAATAATAAAGCTCAAATGTTTGTCTAGCTCTCATATGTAGAGCCCGCCCCTTTTTCATGAAGAGAGGTGCCCATTTATACCTTTGAGGTCAATGTAATAAGTGTTTTTGCAAGTTGTCTTGACACATGGGGTCACTCCTTAATCCTTATCTTAAAATGTGATAGGATTGATATAAAATATCTCTTGGAGGCGGTTTGGATTTTTGACAGCTAATACCACTTTATTTTTAAGTGTTTGTTGAACTCTAATTGGTGGTGCTGACATTAGTATGTATTTTTGGTACAACAGGTTGAAAAAGCGTAAGTAGATAACCATTTGACTAATAACTCCATTATTATAAAAGATTAGATTTTATCAATTAACCAAAAATGAAATTTGGATCAAAATTGGCATAATTTGGACCTGGAGTAATCCAACATTCTAATGGATTCCTACCCCTATCAAGATGTAAGAACCTTGATAAGGGTTAAAGACATGACAAAATAATGGTTGACTGCGACAAAATAATGGACAGGGGGGTCAGTGATAGTTGTGAGTTTGTTAAAGTCTTGCGTGTTGGACGCTCCTTACGAGTCTTGTTTATAGTCTATTTCTAAAAACATGACAAACTCATAACTACCTTTCAAATGGTTGTGTTAAATTCTTCAAAGGAAAATCTAACATATGATCTCAAAGATTTTGTCCATTTTTTGTTTTTTAATTGAAAGCTTTCTTTAAAAATATTTTACAATTGTTTTATGAGACCTGCCATTTAGTTATGATATACCTTAAATATGTTTATCAAAAGAGTTAATAAGATTTTTCCCTTTTAAGTTATGATTGAATAACAAAGCTTCTCCTAAGGTTCTTAAAATAACAAAATTCTTGTGTTGCTAAATTTTAGGTGTTAAAATTAATGGTATGAGGGCAATTTGATAAATACTCATTAACTTCTAATAAGTGTAAGTTTTAACGGTTTACTAATGGTAGGGGTTTTTTATTTCAAAAAAATCATATAGATTTTTGTTATTACATCAAACCTTAGATAGAGGGCTCCATGTCTTAACTCTTATCAAGATTCTTACGTCTTAATAGGGGTAGGAAATCCATTAGAATTCTTAAGTCTGAACAGGGATAGGAAAATGATTGGGGATTGCTCAGATTGTATTTGATGGCTATAAGATTTGTTAAAGTCTTTCGTGTTGAAAGCGGCTTACGAATCTTGTGTATAGTCTATTTCTAAACATATGACAAACTCATTACTATCTTTCAATTTGTGTGGTAAGTTCTTGCAAGAATGATCTAACATATGATCTCAAACATTTTGTGCATCTTTAAAAAAAAAAAAAAGTTAAATCTCAAGTTGTTTAGACTTATATGGCACCGTGATTGCGAATGATTAAGGAGTTGATCTAGTAATAAAATGCTAATATCATATAAGAAAGCACATTATTTATGATTAAACATTTGGGATACTAGTTGATTAGTTACATTTCTATATGACTTTGTCTTCTTACTATTATGAAGGATTAAGGTAAAGCTCTAGTTATTATCATGTAAGTCCCAATGTTTTTACACATATTCAAACCCTTTAATAAATATTCTTGAGTCTAGAAAGAGGTGGGCAATTCATCAAGCCCCACTTTGTTTCACTCTTTCGAATCATTTTTCTGTTATGTATTTGAATTAAAAAACTAAATATGTATTTGTTTACTTATTAAGCCAAATCATTTAGAAAATTAATCTAACTCAAACTGGATTTTTTGTCTCAAAATGAAAAGTGGGTGGGACTTGTTTTCTATTATCCTATTCTATTCAACTTAAAACATTTTTCCAACTCTATTCAACTAAATACAATTACCTTTCACTCCTTCCAATCTGAAAATTAATCCACCCAAGACCACCACCATCGACCGTCATGGCCGGAACGACACATGATCGATCGGATCTGGCCTGTTATGCGTCGATCTTGCCATTTTCGATCAGATCTATGGCTAGATATTTGGCTATTGACGGCCAATTCTGGCCAGATTTTTCCGTCTAACAACAACCAGATTTTGGCCTTTAGCGGCTGCTAGAGATTTGGCCGTAGATTTGGCCGTTCCATGGATCTGACTGAAAACGGCCATAATGGCGCACGATAGGCCAGATACAGCCAATCGTGCATAGTTTCAACGACTGCCAGCTATCGTCCGGTGGTGGTGGCCAGCGGCCGGCTGTTCTCTTGGATGGTTGGGGTGTTTTAGTTAATTTTTAAACTTTTATTGTGGTGAGTGTTTTGCTAAATTAACAAATATAGGAGGTAAAAAAAATCTAAAATATTTTCAAAAAATGTACCAAACAACTATTCAACATTTTATCAAACCATGAATATAATTTTTAAATATTTTATCAAACATATTTTTAGAATCTGATCCAATTCGATTTAATCCAACTCAACTAAACTTAAATTAGTTTTTTAGAATAACATTTTTCAAATAATCTATTAAACAAGCCTCAAAATTCTTGGAGTCTTGACAGGGGTAGGAAAATGATATATGTAACCCTTTTATCAATATTTGATTGTACCAAAGTTTGTTGAAGTCTTTCGTCTTGAATGCTCTTTATGAGCCTTGCGTAAAGTCTTTTTTTTTTTTCAAAATAAAAAAAAAAAAAAAATGGTACAGATGTCTTTCAAACTTTTTGCGGCAATTTTTTTCCATATTCTTGACGGACTCACGATTGTCTTTTAAACTTGTGTGTTAAATTCTTTACATAAATTTTATATACTCACAGCTGTCCGCATAAACTATTTGTGTTAAATTATTTCTAAAAGCTTTGACTGATTTGTAATAGTACACATTTAAGTAGTATTTCAAAATTTCAATTTGAAGTAATATATCAAATCTTTAGTACGAAAGTAAATAAATGATGATAATCGTATAAGATAGCACGTCATTTGTGATTAAAAATTTTGGATTCTACTTAGACATCCGATGTTACTCTATACAAGACTTTTAAATGGTTTAACAATGATGATCATAATAGAGGGTTAAGTCATGAACATGACGATCACTATCAAATAAGAATTGCATCCTTTGTGGCCGATCCTTGTCTAGAATTGCAATACGAATATTTCTAAAGCAATACGAATATTCAATAGTTACAGGGAAAATTATATTAAATAAGAGAAAAAAGAATGACACCTAACCAAGGGAACATAATGAGCCTTACTCTTAAAGAAAACCTAATACAAAGCAAATCAAAAGAATTTATTTATTAAAAAAAAAAAAGCATGAAATATATTCTAAACAAATAATAAATATACTTTTAGTCAAGTATATACAATTCATTTGTGGGGAAGCATACAAAAAGTAGTAACTACGACATGGTGACGAATGAAAATATGATGTTTTAAATCAAATGGGTTGACTGACTATCCTTGCCTGGAACAACATCGTTCCTTTGGTTTCAAACCGGCTTGCACGGCACGGTGTGTATAGAACAAATTAACTACGAATTATTGCATCACAAGTACCGTATCATCCTTTAAAACAGAGTTGATGCCGGAACAACATACCCGACTCTCTAAAAATGTTAAAATTTACCACGATTTCACCAGCAATCCTACCTTGCATCCTTCTCTTCCTCTTCAATGTCCATGCAGACTCGCAACTGTATAGTGAAGAACATGCATCGCTAATGAAACTAAAGCAACATTGGCAAAATCCACCAACCATCACTCACTGGACCCCATCCAACACCAATCACTGCTCCTGGCCTGAAATCACCTGCACTCGCAATTCCATCACTCGACTATCCCTCTACAACACCAGCATCTCCCAAACAGTCCCATCCTTCATTTGTGACCTTAAAAATCTAACCCAGCTGAACCTAAGTTACAACTATATTTCCGGCCTATTTCCAAGAGTTCTCTACAACTGTTCTAAACTTCAGTACCTAGACCTCTCTGAGAACTTCTTTGTTGGTCCCATTCCTCATGATATTGACAGCTTGCCTCGGCTCCGCTACCTCAGTCTCGGCTCCAATAACTTTTCATTCGACATTCCAGCAAGTGTTGGAAACTTAACGGAGCTAAGAGTACTTCAGCTTTATAAGAATCAGTTTAACGGTTCTTTCCCATCAGCTATTGGCAATCTGCAAAATCTTGAGCAACTAGGATTGGCATATAATAAAAAATTTGTACCATCAAAGTTGCCTTCAAATTTCTCGCAGTTGAGTAACCTGAAGACTTTGTGGATGGCTGAAGCAAATTTGATTGGTGAAATTCCTGAACCAATTGGCAATATGACTGCGCTTGAGGTATTGGATTTATCAAAGAATGGTTTGACTGGAAAAATCCCAAGCGGTGTTTTCATGTTGAAGAATTTAAGTAAATTAATTCTTNTTTGATAACAATCTCAGCGGAGAATTACCAGAATCACTTGGGAATTGTAATAGTTTATTAACAATTATGATTTACAACAATGGCTTCAGTGGGAAAATTCCTGTGGGGCTGTGGACGGCATCAAATTTGTCATATGTGTGGATAAGTGATAATATGTTTACAGGTGAGCTTCCCGAAAAAATGTCTGGGAATCTATCTTCTATTGACATCAGCAACAATAGGTTTTCCGGTAAAATTCCTGCTGGAGTAAATTCTTTGAGGAATCTGCAGGTGTTCAGGGCCAGTAATAACCTCTTTACGGGTACAGTTACAAGAGAACTGACAGCTCTTCCTTCTTTAACTATTCTTTGGCTTGATCAGAACCAACTCTCCGGAACCCTTCCCTCAAGTTTGAGCACATGGAAGAAGCTCACTACTTTAAACCTGAGAAGAAATCAGCTCTCAGGAGAAATTCCAGAGGAAATTGGCTCTCTACCTGTCCTTAATAGTTTGGACTTGGCAGAAAACAAATTTTCCGGAAAAATTCCACCTCAACTTGGTCTCTTGAAGCTCACCTTCCTTAACCTCTCTTCCAATCATCTTATTGGAGAAATCCCAAGTGAGTTTGAAAATGGTGCGTATGAAAGTAGCTTCTCGAACAATCCTGGTCTCTGCGCACGGAGCTCGTTTGTAGAACTCAAAATCTGCAGTTTTCAACCCGAAAAATCAATCAAAATTTCATCCAAATATTTCGCTTTGATACTGAGTGCAGCCGTTGCCGTCTTTTTGCTGGACTTGGTGATTTCATTCTTCATGTTCAGAGCTTACGGCAAGGGAAAACATGGATTGAATACGAGGACGGATACGGACATCACTAAGTTCCAGGATTTAAATGACACGACCCGTCCCAAAATTCCTCATCCCGTAGGATCCGGGTGCTCCCACAAGACTCGGATACCTGAGACGTGTCATATAGAAAAATTGTGAAACCTGTTAGAAGACCTACTTTTCCTGAATAACATCATAGTATTTTCATTTCCAACATCTAAAAAAAAAGACATGTATCCTCCTTCGTTTTACAAAAGAAAAGAGTTAAGGAAAATTTGTGGTATCAGATTTTCCACTTATATAACAGATTCCAAAACATAAACAAAAGGAAATACATGATGGGAAACATGAGTTTTCTTTTGAATCGAAAGTCCAAAAATGCACTACCACATAAATGTAAAACCCACATAAAACAATGTCGATGCGTGGCACAACCTTGAGCGGTGACTCACTGCTCGGCACGATCTCCCTGTAAACCTGAGGGGGAGGAAAACATTTTTTTTAAAACGGGTGAGCTGAAATACTCAGTGAGTGGGAGAAAAGGGGAAGTTTGCAAAACATTCGTCAAATAAAAGTTATGGCGTGCAATGGTCCTTATGAAATACTGAAAACAACATGATTCTATGAACATGATATGGTGGTAGCTAATCATCCTGTATGCATGCATAACTCATTTTCAATCGTTCTAAGTATTATAATATGATCAATTAAACTGACAACAATTTCTGAATCCTAGCTATCATAAATACTGAAAACTCTTTTATGAGAACTTAAAGAATAGCTGTAAATTCAGCTTCTAAAGACAATGTTTTTATGAATCATGCTACAACATCAACTGTTTCCTATAGCTAATGCAAACTATCCATCATATACTGAAAAATGAACATATAACTGATATGAAAGCTGCAGGCTGGTATCTGAAAACTTTAAAACGATATCCTGTTGGAAACAGTAAATGATACTAAAGGTTCTCATGCATGTGATTTTGAAAATAACAACTTACTAGTCATGCCTGTAAACATCCAAACCAACATTCAATGAACATCATGATTCACAAGACAAAATCTGGTAACTAAATTTATAACTATTGTGATGATATAAAATGAAAATGATTTTTCTGAAACTATGCATTGATAACTGATTTTGGAATACTGTAAACTTATGCTGATAACTGAACTTTAAATTGGATACTGTAGCTTTTACTGTTACGGAAAACTATAGATATATCTTATTTGAAAACTGGGGCTAATACTGAAAGCTCTCTTAATATTCTGAAAACTCATATTGAGACTATCGCTCATAATGATACTCAAAACTGAATGTGATTTTGAACATTCTAAAACGTGATTATGATATTAATAATAGAAAACCCTACCGCAACTAGTACCCTGGGGGAAAAATCTCGATACCTGGTGGGCATCCCACACACAGGCAAAGCTGGAGAAAAACATCTCAATACCCGGCAAGATCTATCATCGCGCGGGCAGAGTCTGAAGAAAACAATCTCATATACCTGGCAGACAAGCTCAACGCCCAGGCAGAGCACTAAATATCTCAATACGCATGCGCAGAGCCTGAAGACCAATATCTCAATACCCAGCGGAATCTTGCATCGCGTGGGCAGAGCCTGAAACTGGGGGAATGGGGTACTTCGTAGGGTGGTTTTAGCACCCACAACATACTCATGCATATCTATGTAACATGTAAGTCAAGAGTATATTACGTATGTGCTTATAAATCATACATATATGACATAATATTTAGAAATCGCATATAGGGGTGAAACTGCAATTTCTAAACATATTTCAAAAACTGACCGTATAACCCAGATTATAAATTACTTCAACATCACATGATCTTAGCATATGTCTGATACAAATCATAAGCAAATATCACTTTTAAAAGTCAAACCTCATATAACACATTATAATTATAATTAAAAACCCAAGAGCAATAATAATAAATAATAATAATAATAATAAGAATATTTCATACAAGATAAATCATGCCAACATATGAGATTTCATGGAAAACAGGGGGTAAATTGTAAGTTTTTAAAGCATACTTTCAAAAGACGAAAAGCACCCATTTTCCTGTTCACCGAGAATTATTTACCAACATCACAAATCTCAGTCCTTCTTTAACATGTTGTCCAGTCAAGTATGCAATTTAATACCCAACAATAATTTCATCAAAAAACACAAGTCAACCATCATCCTAATATGTATCCAGCCGAGTGCACGTGGTTACAATAACAAGCAAATGCATCCCACTTAAAAAACTCAATCAAGCACTTCAAAGATTTGTCCAAAAACATGTAAAAGAAAACAATTTAAGCAATTTCACAAAATAAACAAGGCTCTTGTCAAGATATTAATATACAAAACATGAGTCTGTGGTTTTTAGGAAAGATTTGGTGACATGCAACACAAATCAGTTTTGTTAAATTCAGATATGAGACACTTTCACTCAAAAATTTGTAAAAAACACATTCATATTCCAATATTATTGATAATAACATCAATTTCAGTATAAAATCTTCATGGAATATATGCGGAAGTAAATGACAAACCTCCGGCCATAGCAATTGTTCTTTGATCTTCTTGCGTCCTTTCTAAATTACAGGATTTCCACTGATTGCAATTTTGGGTGATGGTTTATGGGAATCAAAAAAAAAAATTGCGTCTAATGGGACCTGTAAAGTCTCCTATATGCAGTTGTCTTTCCATCAAAGACAAATGCTCAAGGAAGAGACACAACTTTTACATTAAATCCACATCAGTCCACACAGCATAAAAGTGTAAGACCTTAAGAAATTATATTAAAAGTGTAGGACCATAATGTAAAAAGTCTAACATTCTCCCACTTGGTCCAAACTCTAATATAATCCAAAAACACAAGAGATGTATATGCGGTATGTTCAATTAGAAAGAGGAAAAAGTACATGAATCATAGCGGTAAGTCCCTTTGAAACAAGTATTACTTCCATGTTTACAATGCAATTTTTCTCTTTCTAAATAAACGCTTAAATGTGGAATATCACTTTATGAACAAACCTCAAATGTTTGTTCCAGGTCCTTAAATGTTGTTTGCTCCAACCAAAATGTTATACAACTTAAAAGAGAAAACAAACTAAATTACAAAGTTCAGACAATAAGTATTACCTCTCAGAGTGACAAAGCGGGACATAGTCCCATTTGAACAACATGATCCTTGAACGTCTTTGGTGGCATGCCTTTCGTTAGAGGATCAACAATCATTGCTCAGTATGTATGTGTCAATGAGCACTTCTTTGGCTTTAACGTGCTCCCTTATTGCTAAGTACTTAAGTCGATGGTGTTACTCGACTTCCACTCTTATTATTCTTAGCAAAGAATACAGAGCATGAATTGTCACAATATAACTTCATTGGCCTAGAGATAGACATCAACACTCCAAGCCCAGAAATGAAACTTCTCAACCAAATACCTGTGGAGTTGCCTCAAAAGGAAACAAACTCAGCTTCCATGGTAGAAGTGGCAACTAAAGATTGTGGGCACTTCTCCAGATATAGCACCTCCGGCGAGCATAAAAACATATCCGGATGTTGATTTTCGAGAATCAATGCATCCAGCGAAGTCTGAGTCTGAATATCGACGACTTCTAAAATGTCGGAACGTTTATAAGTAAGCATGAAACTTTAGTTCCTTGAAGATACCCATGACCTTCTTTGCAGCTCTCCAATGATCCAAAACTGAATTACTTTGATATCTTCTAACATGCCAACTGCAAAAGCGATGTCAGGTCTAGTACAGACTTGAGCATACATTAGGCTTCCAACAGCTGAAGCATAAGGAATAGTTTTATGTTCCTTTTCAATCTCAAGTGTAGGACATGGTTCAGTCACCCTTAACAATGGGTGCAACAGATTGAACATGTCACCCTTAACAATGGGTGCAACACGGGGGAACAATCTTCATCCTAAACTCTCAAGAATTTTATTATATAGGCTTCCTGAGATAGTCCCAAAACATGTCGAGACCTATCCCTATGAATCTTAATGCCAATGACATAAGACGCCTCACCCATATCCTTCATACTAAAATGTTGAGAGAGAAATTGTTTCACATATGTAGCAAACCCAAATCATTGGTTGCAAGGAGAATATCATCTACATATAACATAAGAAAGATGATTTTACTCCCAATGACCTTGTGGTAGTACACTGATCCATGACATTCTCTACAAAACCAAATGAAGAGATACAGTGTGAAATCTTAAATACCACTGTCGGGAGCTGTTTAAGTCCATAAATGGACTTCTTAAGCTTGCAAAACAAATGCTCACCATCACTGAAATGAACCATCAGGCTGTTTATATAAACCCTTCTCCAAATCTCCATTGAGAAAAGTTGTTTTAACATCCATTTGATGTAAATCTAAATTGAAATGGGCCACTAATGCCATTATGATACGAAAGGAATCCTTTTTAGAAACTGGAGAAAAATGTTTCTTTGTAATCTATTCCTTCCTTTTACGTGAAACCTTGGCAACAAGTCTAGCCTTGTATCTCTCAATGTGGCCTAATGAACCCTTTTGGTTTTAAATACCCATTTACAACCAATAGGTTTCTTTCCCATAGGCAAGTCAACAAGGTCCCAAACTTTATTATCCCCATAGAATCATCTGTCAATCATGGCATTATACCACAATTCAGATTTATGCTGTTCATAGCTTGTAAAACGTGTTAAATCATCCTCAATACCTATGTCACAGTCAGACTCTTGCATATACACTTCATAATCAGTAGGAATTGCTGATTTCTTTGTTCTAGTAGATCTCCTTAATGTTGTATCAGTAGTCTCTTGAGATGTTGCACAACGGGTTCCATTTGTATTGGAGGTTGTTTAAAATGATCTTCTAAAACAATCGCATCAGAATGTGGATTTTGATTGAGTGGTTCCTCATTATTCACCTGTTTGGATGAACAACCAATCTTTTTACTTGATGTAGGAGCATTGTTGAAACATCAATTTTCTCAAAGACTGAGTCTCTGATTTGATCACTCCCATGACCACATCATTTTCAAGAAATTGGCTTTCTTGATCAACAATTCTACTGGAATGGTTAGGACAATAAAACTATATCCTTGGATTTTTCTGCATATCCAATAAAATATGCACTAAAAGTCCTAGGATCTAACTTCCGTTCTTATGGATTATAAAACTCTAACCTCAACTGACAACCCCAGATGCATAAATGACTTAAATTGGTTTCCAACCTTTCCATAATTCGAATGGCGTTTTGGGAACCGCTTAGTTGGAACTCGGTTTATATATACGCTGCAGTTTTGAGAGCTTCAATCCACAAAGAATGAGGAAGTTTGGAGTTACTTAGCACTCCGTACCAACCTATAATGTCTATTCTCTGTTCTGCTACACTATTCTGAGATGTGAGCCAGGCAGGTGTATTGAGCCACAATACCTTGCTCTTGAAGAAATTTAGCAAATGGACCAAGTGCTTGTCCTATACCAGTGTATCACCATAATATCACCACCTCTATCAGATTCACAATCTTAATTTGTTTTCCACATTGTTTCTCTACTTTTGCTATATATTTTGAAAGCACTCAACGTTCATCCTTGTGATAAAGCATATAGAGATACTAAATCGTGAGTAATCATCAATAAAGGTGATGAAAATTTCTGCACTAGAGCTCATGTCAGGGCAACAAATATCTGTGTGTATGATTTCTAAAAGTTCAGAACTCTTCCTGGCACCCTTCTTGGATTTGTTAGTCTGCTTTCCCTAATGCAGTCTCACAAGTATCAAAGTCAATAAAGTCAAGAGTTTCAAGAACTCCAGCATTTACCAACCTTTTAATCCTATCAATGGAGATGTGTCCTAATCTCCTATGCCACAAAAAGAAGAGTTTTCATACAATAGTACGTTTCATGCCAGTGTTAGCATGTGAAGTCATAAGACTATAAGGAACAGTATCACTTAAAGAATTTTAAACAAACCATCAACCAAAGTACCATTTCCAACAATAGAGAGTTCTTAATTAAATTAAAAGAAATACCATAAAAGTTGAAAGAGTATCCACAAGGTACAAGTTTAGAAACTGAAATAAATTCCTAGAAAAACTAGGAATATAAAAGGTTCGTTCCAAATCCAAAACATAATTAGTACTTAAATAAGTCTAAAAGTCAACAGCTTCAACACGTGAAGGCATCCTGTTTCCTGAATAGATGCTGCATTCACTTCCTAATGGCTTCCTTGATCCAGAAAACCCTGTATGGCATAGAAACATGGATTGTAGAACCAGAATCAATCTACCAATCATTATGTGAAACACAAATCATATTAGATTCTAAACACCAAAAGATGAGAGGTTACCTTTCTTGTCAAGCTAGGCCTTCCTCTTAGGACAATCCTTTTCATGTGGTCCCGTCTTTTTAGAAGAAACACTTGATATTGTCCTATTACCTTTGCTCATAACCTCATGCAGCTTGCCTTTTCCTTCCACTTCTATTCTTGTTTGAAGTGTACTTGACATTTCCTGTCACCAGATTTGCAGTTCACTCACTTCCTGAAGCAGTCTCTCCTCCTCTGAACCCACATGGTCAAAGCTCATTGATTGACCATTTATCCTTCTGTGTGTTATAAGATCTTGAAAGGAGTATAATGAGACGAGAGAGAGTTCAGAACATAATGCACCAGCAAATCATCATTAATCACCATGAAGGGATTTCAACTGAGCAGCTATGTCCTCATTTATAATATGCTCACGGACTCCTTTAATACCAGTCAACTTCATGGGATGTCAATCTACTCATTAGGATGCTACCTAATGCTTCTTCTGTGTTTCAAACTGTGCATGAATTGCATCCATCAGATCCTTGACATTTTCACACTCCGGTATCGACCCACGGATACTAGTCGTAATGTGAGATTTGATAAACATCATGCTTAAACGGTTGGATCGCTCCCACCATTCATACAAGCATCTCAGCTTAGAGCTAGCATCTGTAGGTGTTGGTGGCTCTTCCTTACGAAGAGCATAGTCAAGATCTATGACACCTAAATGAAGGAGGACAGCTCTCTCCAGGATTTGTAGTTATCACCATTTAAATTAGGAACCTTATCTAACCATCATCAAAGTTTGATCAACGTAGGTAATTCAATAGCATGCTTACTAAATAAATTATGAGGCACAAACCATCAATAACAATTATAAGTTTACCAATGTAAAAAAAATAATAAATCATAAATGAATCGACATATCATAAAATCTCCCGTGGGTAAAGACATACATATATGATTCATATCCTTTAATGATGAAACTAGAAATTATTATATTTCATAATACCTGTGGGCTAATTAAGAAATAAGAATAATTTCTATTTCATCCCAATTAATCATAAAAATATAACATTCCTGTGGGGTAAATGATTACTAATATGATTAATACAAAACGATGTTATTAACCTTAATATGAATAACTAATATTTCTTAATGCATATATATCATAATTTAGATGCTGCGGTTACTCTAAATTAATCAAAAATATATACGATCATAAAACATCAAATAATTTATAACATGAATTGTATAATATAACACAAATCAATACAAGAATAATACATTATTTATGCATAACAAAGTAATATATACATAAAAAAACCATCATACAAGCTGTCACCGACTTCCACGTGCCACCGTGACTAAAGAACGCGCCTCCCACGCCCACCAGAAGGCAGCACACACGCTCACGCGCCCTTACGGGCCTCCACGGCCCTTTCACGCGCCTACACGCACTTACACGCGCCAAACATACACCCACACGCGCCTGACGCAAGCACAAACTCTTCACGCGCCTGGACGCGCCGGGTCTTGACCAAGGTCGGGCTAACCCGTTTGACGGGTCGTTCGACCCGGTTTGTCCATTGGACCGGTCCGTTGACCGATTCAGTGACTGGTTTGAACGGTTGACCGGGCTGGACTGTTGACCGGGTCGGGTTGACTAACGGTTTGGGCTGGGTTGACCTGGTCGTTTGACCCGTTTTGACTTTTGACCTTTGACCGGGTCAGTTTGACCCGTTTGACCTGTCGGGTCGGTTCTTCTGACCGTTTTCTGCAACTTTACCCAATTCTTTTCCAGATTTTCAACAGCCCATTTCGACCATTTTTTCGGCGTTTTCGATAGGAAACTTGAATGTGGACATATAATATATATCAGTGACATCCAAATGACAATTTCGTCCTAAATCGTGCCATAAATGGCTTCCGAAACACCAAACATAATTTCTAAAACAAAACTTTAAAATAGCTTAACTTTGCATCCAGAACTCCGTTTTTGACAAATAATATACCGTTGGAAAGCTTTTTCAACAAGGATTCCAATGACATCAAAATCAAAAACAGATTCTATTTATAATAAAAGTTATGCTTGATTTACAGTACGGGTTTTAATGGAAAAAATCCTAATTTTATGCAATATTTTTCAGATTTGCAACAAACAACTTCATGCTAGGCAGAGATTCAAATAATGGCTCTGATACCAAATGTAAAAACACATTCATATTCCAATATTCATTGATAATACAATCAATTTCAGTATAAAATCTTCATGGAATATATGCGGAAGTAAATGACAAACCTCCGGCCATAGCACTTGTTCTTTGATCTTCTTGCTCCTTTCTAAATTACAGGATCTTCCACTGACTGCAATTTTGGGTGATGGTTTATGGGAATCAAAAAAAAAATTGCGTCTAATGGGGACCTGTAAAGTCTCCTTTATATGCAGTTGTCTTTCCATCAAAGACAACTCCTCAAGGAAGAGACACAACTTTTACATTAAAATCCACATCAGTCCACATCAGCATAAAAGTGTAGGACCTTAAGGAAATTATATTAAAAGTGTAGGATCATAATATAAAAAGTCTAACAAAATTTGCTCAAGCTGGGACATGCTAAGGTAAAATATCTAGCCAACATCACAATTTAGTCAAACAACCGAATGCAAACAGGTGCAGCTAGCAAGCAAAATACACTCCATTTTAAGCACCAAATTAACCAACCAAACATTCATCCAAAAGCATGGAAAGGAAAGCAAGTTCAGCAAGCTTCAAATTCAGCTCAAAACTCATCAAAAAGCAAAAATGGCCAACTATATTTAACATGCAAACATAAATCTGAACTTTTTTAAGAAAACTTTCATTTGATCCACTCACCCTTCTAATCCTATAATTGACTGCCTATTACAGTGCTTGGATTTCGATCTCCACCGTTCAGAATGTAGAGTTGTGTTTCATGAACAACATATCCAAAAATCAGAACGATCGAACGGCAAACGAGTTCCAAATCACGATCTGATGATGCACTATTCACATACTCAAAAACTAATATATCCTCTCTCCTTCTCTTTGTTCTTCCTTTTTCTTCTCTTCCTCTCTCACTCTAACTCTCGGCCGAACCCACTCTTTCTTCTCTCCTTTTTTTTTTTTTCCTCCTTTCTCACCTCTCTTCTTTCTTTCTTCTGCTCTCGTTTTCTTCTTCTTCCTTTGGGCGAACTGCCCAGTTTTCTTCTTCTTTTAAACAAAACATTTTTCTGAAATTATATATGCCCCCCAAAATTTCTAAATTTCAATCTAGCCCCGCCACCTAAGCTTTTCCTTACAAAAATGTCCAAATTTTTCCCTCTTGATATATGCAAACCCATCATGATTTATTTCTTCGTTTTCACTCTTTAACGCAACTTTAAAAACTGACAAAAATACCCCTTTCTTAAAATAATACCATAAAATCAAATCAAAAGGGAATTAAATAACTAATTAAAATTCATGCTATTACTAAATTAGAAATGGGGTTTTACATTAAATCTCATAGAAAATGATATTTGGCCAAAATTGACAGAAAATAACGTGATTGGAAGTGGTGGTTCTGGAAAAGTGTACCGTGTTTCTGTAAATAGTTCGGGTGATGTTGTTGCCGTGAAAATGATTTGTAATAACCGAAAGTTTGACCAAAAACTCAAGAAACAAGTTTTAGCAGAAGTTCAAACATTAAGTAGAATTAGACATTTGAACATAGTAAAGTTGCTTTGCTGCATTTCCAATGAGAATTTGAAACTTCTGGTTTACGAGTATCTAGAGAATCGTAGCCTGGATCTCTGGTTGCATAAAAGGAATCGACCATCAATTCTCTCTGGCTCTGTCTCTGGCTCTGGCTCTGGCTCAGTCGTCCATGATTTTGTCCTGGACTGGCCCAAGAGGTTGCGGATTGCGGTGGGGGCTGCCCAGGGACTTTGCTACATGCACCATGACTGCTCCCCACCCATTGTCCACCGGGATGTGAAATCAAGCAATATCCTATTAGATTCAGACTTTAATGCGAAAATAGCAGATTTTGGTCTAGCTAAAACCCTGGTCAAGCAGGGAGAACTTGAAACAATGCCATCTGTGGTAGGCTCCTTCGGGTACATTGCTCCAGGTGATATATTTTTCAAATGGTACAATCACTTGTTTTTGGATCATGTCAATCATTCATGTCAATCATTCCCTCCTTTTTACTGAGCAACTGTTATTCTTGATCCCTTTATCAAACTTTTTGCTTTTCTAAACTGAAATGTAGAGTATGCTCATACAACCAAAGTCAATGAGAAGACAGACATTTATAGCTTTGGAGTGATCCTTTTGGAACTCACAACAGGAAGAGAAGCTAATTATGGTGATGAACATACATACCTCTCCAAATGGGCGTGGCAATATCTTCAAGATGGCAATCCTATAGTTGATGCCTTGGATGAGGAGATCAAAGAAGTTTGCTATTTGGATGAAATGAGTCGAGTATTCAAACTTGGGATCCGCTGTACCAGCACGCCACCTGCTGCTAGGCCTAGCATGAAGTCAGTTTTGGAAATCTTAGTCAATCCTTCGGTTATTTCCCAAGCAAAGACTGCTGCAAGTAAGTTTTGATGCGACTCCTCTCATTACGAAATTCAAGACAAGAGAGGATGTCAGATTGTGATGTTCAGTTTAATTTTTAGTTGCTTCATTTCTAGTAATTAGACAGATTTGTGCAGCGGAAAAAGGTTTTTCCGTTTCATGAAAAGGGAGCAGTTAATGAAGTATTTCATAGGCTTAATTATGTATAAAATGTGACTGTATTTACATTATAAACATGAATGCATTTCCAGTTTTCTGGCTTCAATACCTTTAGCGAATTCAATACTAAGTTATAAATCTGAACTGGTAAAATTGAATAGTAAATATAATCTATCGTCGTCCCATCGTCCCTTGACTACGCTGGGCTTAGGCATGTCGTGCCTTGATGGAATGTGATAAATACAAAGTGCTATGATCCAGGACTGATTACAGGTTACCATTATTCTTGGCTTGATTCATGGCCTGATTCAAATGTGTTGAAACATTGATAATTTGCTGGAAATTCAATTAAGAGTTAGTTTGGTTTTGAATATGTTTTGGCGCCAAGCAGCTGCTGCATTCCTCCATGTCTGCCGAAATTGAAGCCGCTGTAGTAGTTGTTTTTAGTGACATGTTTATGTGAAATTCAACTTAGATTGAGGTTGTATTAGTTGCCAACTTTGTTTTTTAAATTTTAAAACTCTAAATGGCTGTTGCAGTTGGTAAAACAGTATGCCTTTGTTGTATATAATGCAAGTTGCAATGTAATTAAAAAAAAAAAAAGTTTTAATTCTTTTCATTCTCTCCTCATCTTTCCTTAGAGTTCACCGGCTCTTAAAACGAACAAAATGATTACATTTTATTATTATCCCTGATTTCATGTAATTATATTGATTGTATTACCATTTCTCACACTTGTAGACTTTTGGATAGATTACAATACTGAAAATATACAGAAAATTCTTCTTCTCTCTTTCTCTTGGCATAATCTGGCGTCCCTGCCACTCTTTGCCTCTATCTCTGATCAATTTCTTACATGGTATCAGAGCTTCTCTACTTAGCTTCCGCTCCTTAATTCTCTTCTGTCTCTATAAAAGCAAACAAAATCTCTATCAGTTTTCACTTCTTTCAAAATACAAGCCTCAGTTATTATAACCAATTTCCAGAAAGTCATCAGCTAAACTACTAAAATGGAAACCAACACACACTACAGAGCTAGCCCACACTAAACCACTTTTAACACAAGAAATCCAGGCTTAGGCCAAACTAATTCAAATTCCATAAATCGTCCAACCATTACAATCAACCCAAACCAAAACTCCACATCTGAACCAAACACTACATCCGACCCAACACAATTTACCATCTCGGGTTACAACCTGAGGTCCTACACTGTCCAAATGATTCTGGCCACCAATCATCGCCCTAAACTAGGTGATATATTATTCACGATGACTTCTGAAGGGCAAAAAATTGTACTCATCTAGCAACTGCTAACAGGATCTGACAACTATAGTTCTTGGTCTCGCCATTTCCAGCAAGGAATAGCATGTATGCAAACGACATGTAACAGCTACCTTATCATCTAATAGCCCCCCGCAAGATGGAGAATAGAGGTTTACTATTCCCATCTTGGATAAATGTGACTGAAGAAGTAATGAAGGCAGGGCTTTGGTAAATATATCTGCTGGCTGGCTGTGAGAAGAGACATGAGAAGTGGTGATGCTGCCTTCTTGAATCTTGTCGAACTAGGTGACAATCCAACTCAATGTGTTTAGTTCGCTCATGGAAGACCGGATTAGCAGCTATGTGTAAATTTGCCTGATTGTCACAATAAAGTAGAGTAGGTTGAGGATGAGAAATCTGGAGATCAGTGAGCAAATACCTCAACCAAGTGAGTTCACAACAAGTAGAGGCCATGGAATGATATTCGGCTTCAGCTGAAGAGCCAGACACCATTAATTGCCTCTTGGTTTTTAAGAAACAAGTAAGTCACCCAAGAAGATGCAACAACCTGTGATGGAGCGACGAGTGTCAGGACAAGAGGCCCAATCGGAGTCACAGAAGGCCTTGAGTTGTAGCTGAGATTTAGAGGATAGTAAAATACCTTGGCCAGGGGCAGCTTTGATGTATCTCAATACTTTGTGTGCAGTGGCCATGTGTGTAGAAGTGGGATGATCCATAAATTGACTCAATAACTGGACAGCATAGCATATATCAGGTCTAGTGATTGTTAAGTACAAGAGACGCCCAATGAGTCGACGGTAGGGACTTGGATCAACCAAAGGAACACCAGTTGTCTTGCTAATTTTAAAGTTTTGGTCAAGGGGTATTTTGAGAGGTTTGCTCCCAAGTGTACCCAAGTCGGCTAAGATATCCAAAGCGTACTTTCTTTGGCATAGATGGATGCCTTTGGATGAGCGGGCAACCTTTAACCCAAGAAAATAATGCAAAGTTCCAAGGTCTTTAATTTTGAAATGGGTATTAAGGAAGGTTTTGAGGGAAGCAATAGAAGAAGAGCAATTTCCAGCCACAATAATATCGTCAACATAAGCAAGCAATGCAGTAAATGAAGTGCCATCCAATAGTGAAGAGACTATAATCAGCTTTAGATTGATGAAATCCAAAAGCAATAAGAGAGGAAGAGAATTTGGAATACCATTGTCTTGAAGCTTGCTTAAGGCTATATAGGCTCTTAAGTAATTTGCACACTTGGTGGGGTCCTCCTTTGGTGTATCAGGGGGTTTACACATATAAATTTCCTCTTCTAAATCACCATGGAGAAAAGCGTTGTTGACATCAAATTGATGGATAAACCATCCTTTAACAGTTGCCATTGAAAGTAATACCCAGACAGTACCAGAGAAAAGGTCTCCGTGTAGTCAATACCCTCTTGTTGGGTGAACCCTTTGGCGACAAGCCTCGCTTTCAATCGCTCAATAGTCCCATTAGAATTGAACTTGGTTTTATACACATATTTACAGTCAATGGCTTGTTTTCCAAGAGGAAGATCAGTGATGAGCCAAGTGTGGTTCTGCTTTAAAGCTTGTAGTTCAGATTCATAGCTTAACAGCAGCCAAGGTCCTTTAGGGCTTGCTTGTATGTTTGTGGGTTAGAGATGGCGGAAATAGAATTGGAAAAAGCAGTAAAAGAAGGAGAAAATTTTTAGTATGTGAAGAAATGTGCTAGTGAAAAATTGTTACCTCAAACAGTGCCTTCCAGCTTAGACAACAATGGTGAGGAAGCAGAAAGCGATGCTTGTTGACAGTGAAATTCTTGAAGGTACTGAGGAGCTCTCCTTACCCTTGTTGACCTGTGGAATGGTGGATTAGAAGGGGAAGATGTAGTGCTATTTGGGGAAGGAGGGAGGTAGTGAGTATGGGAGATGAGGGTGATAGAGTTACTGCATGTTCTAGAGAGGAGGTGGACTACCCAGAATTTGTTGGTGGTGGCACAGGATGAGTGTTGGGGGCTATCTGTGGAAAGTCAAACAGGTCTGGAAGTGGTTTAGTAAAGACAAAGTCATTATGGGATGAGGGGGGAAGGTTGGAAGGAAGGGAGTGGAAGGGGAATATAGTCTTATGGAAGACATCTCGTGATATAAAAGTGGATTTGGTGTTAAGGTCAAGAACCTTATAGCCCTTGATGCCCAAGGGATAGCCAAGAAATATACACATGCGACCTCGAGGATCAAACTTTTGCCTCCCATGAGGGAGTGTGGTTGCAAAACAGAGTGCACCAAAAATTTTCATGTTTGCATAAACGGGTTTTGAATTAAACAAAAGTTCATAAGGTGTCTTGTTTTAAAGAAGGGGACTAGGGGTCCTATTGATTAAGTAAGTGGCTGTCAAAACACAATCACTCCAATATTCAAGAGGAAGACCAGCTTGTATTTTTAAAGCTCGGGCTACATTAAGTAAGTGTTGATGTTTTTGTTCCACAATGCCATTTTGTTGTGGGGTGGCAACACAACTTCTTTGATGTATGATTCCTTTGTTGTTAAAAAAATCTGTCATTTGGAATTCACTTCCATTGTCACTTCTTAAAATTTTGATTTTAAGGTCAAATTGATTTTCAATCATGTTCGAAAAAGAGATGAGACAGTTTCTGGTTTCAGATTTGGTTTGCAAAAGGTATAACCAAGTGGTTCTAGTGAAGTCATCAATTATGGTTAGAAAAAATTTGGAACCATCATATGCAATAGTGGAGCATGGTCCCTATAGGTCACAGTGTATAATTTCAAAGGGTTTAGAGGTCTTATGTTGACTATGAGGAAAAGGCAATCTATGGAGTTTAGCCAATAGACAAATGCAGCAAGGTTTTGTATTAATAGATGAAACATCTTTCTTTACAATAGGATCTATGATCAGAGTGATACATGTAAAAGAAGGATGACCTAAGCGACAATGCCATAGGTCAATAACATCTAAATTGTTGAAAATGGAAGCTGAACCAGTAAAAACAGCGGTGGAGAAAGTGGAAAGTTTATTAGCTAAGAGGGAAGGAGAGACTGTAGTCTTCAAGAAATGATAGAGGCCACTCCTTACTTCACCCTGTCCAATCGTTGTCCAATATAAAAGGTCCTGAATAAGACAACAATTAGAAAAGAAAACTAGACAAGAAGTGAGAGAGGTAGTCAATTTTTTTGTAGAAATTAAATTGAACTGAAAAGATGGTATGCACAAAACTTCATGTAGAGAAATGGATGGAGTGAGTTGGACAGTGCCAACGTGGGTGATAGGGGCCTCTGTACCATTTGGCATTTTAACAGAATAATTAACATAAGCAGTGATGGTGGTGAGCAAGGAGGTGCAGTAGACCATGTGGTCGGTTGCACCTGTATCAATAATCCAAGAAACATTAGTGGAGTGAAGTGGAGAGTGTGTGCACGCAAAGAGACAAAAAGGAATACCAGAGAGATTAGGTTGCAGATTAGGTAAGGTGGTAAAAGTGAAGTTGGACTGAATTTGATAAGGAGGAGATTGAGTGAAGTAAAACTAGTAGTTGCTGATACTGAGCTTGAGTTAAACCCACTCGTCCATCACTAACCTCATCAAGGTCAGAAGCATAAGAGAATGTAGTATGTGTAACAAGAGCAGCAAAATTGGTGTTTTTGTTGAAGAACTTATGGTCCAGTGGATAGCCATGCAATTTGTAACACCTCTCCATGGTGTGACCAGACAAATTGTAGTGAGAACATATAGGGGCTTCTGCATTTCCAGCTTTAAAACACGTCTCAAATGTGTGACCAAAAATCTTACAATGGGTACAATAGGCACAGTCTTTCTTAGGGGTAAATTTGGTCCGAGTGTATGGCTTGGCAGGTTGGATGAAAGGTCTTTTGATGGATAAGGCCATTGAGTCAGGGGATGGGTTAGGGGGAAGGAGCTGGTGTTGTTGCTCCTATATTTGGATGAGGGAGAAAATCATGCTCATAGGTGGGAGAGGGTCTAACATCATGATTTGGTCACGTACATTAGAATAGGTATCATGTAAACCCATAAGAAATTGAAAAACAGAGTCACGTTGATATCTATCCAAAAGAGTTTTCACAGTTCCACAAGTACACACAGGAATTGGATCGTAAATGGAAAGCTCATCCCAAAGAGTTTTAAGCTTACCATAATAGATACTTACAGAGTCTGCGTCTTGAACAAGGCTGGCTAGGGTTTTCTTTAGCTAGAAAATCCGAGGACCATTCTGATGAGAGAATCGGGCTTGAAGATCAAGCCATATGTCGCACACATCATCAACAAACACCACGCTGGATTTGATTAAAGAGGTGATGGAGTTTTGAATCCACGACACTACCATGTCGTTGCAATGCTCCCAGAGCTCAAGGAGAGGGTCTGTAGGGTCGATTGGTTTGGGGATACCTCCAGAGATAAACCCTAATTTATTTTTGGCGTGAAGGGCCTATCGCATAGCACGCGACCAAGTGATGTAATTATCTATGGTGAGCAAATTAATGACTAGAATAACAACATGGTTGTCACCGTTATCTAGCTGGAAGGGATTACCGCAATCACTGAGGTTCAGGTAACGAGCCATATTAATGGCACGAGGGTTGGGTGGGTTGGGTTTGGGTGGCCGGAGGATTGTTTGGCATGGGTTAAGGATGAATCGGCTGAACTTTTGAGAGGATCTTCCATGGAGTTGGTGCTTAGGCTCGGGATACCATGTGAGAAGGAAAAAGGGTGAAATACATATATAAATAACAAAAGTTTGGAAAAGGTGGATATCGTGTATTATTGTTACTATTCAGACTATTACAAAAGATAACTAATATAGGCACTGTATTCTAACAAACTAATAGAAAATAGTTACAGAATAAAGGACTATTTGCTAATTATAGAGAGGATTTACAAAGAATAAAAGAATAATATAAAAGTAAATAAATGAAATACAACAAGTAATTAACTTGTATCCAAACGACATGTAGCAGTTGCCTTATCATGTAATACGTAGAATGAATTAGATGCTGCTGAAGAAACTTCAGATGGGCCACCGACGACTCTTGTTCAATATCAGCATCTCTGTGACAAGCAATGATTGACCCAATTCCTCATTGGCTCGAATGAATCCTTCTTACCATTCAGAACACAGATCTTGGCCATCTCTCCACCGCCGGGGCTTCGAAAAATTTTCCAGTTGGCTATCGAAGAAGAGAATCAACGGAATCTTGCTGTTGATGGTGCTCGTCCAAGGATGTCATCACATTTGCCAATGAACATTTTCCCAACTTGGTGAGCAAATGCGCAATACCATGCTAGCGGATGAGAAAAGTTTTATGGGTAAGAAGTTTGGTTTGAATAATATGCATAATTCTTAGTTTTTATATGATAATATGAAGGGCCAAGATCAAATCCTTAAATACAATGGCCAACAACACTTATCTCTTCTTCATGGATCTAATGGACCACAAGCTGCCACCTCAAAAACATGGTCAACCAGGTCAACCAAGTCCAATGGGTCAAATTGGTCCAATGGGCCTAATTTCAACAAAACCGGGAAAAACAAGTTTTTTTGTGATTATTGCAAGAAATGCAATCACACTCAGGATAAATGCTGGAAATTTCATGGGCGCCCTACTGACAAATCTGGAAATCCATCCATCCATCGAGTCAAGTCAATATTGTTCCTATTGGAAATCAAATTTTTGCACCCATGATCAACAAGGAACAGTACACCCACCTACTTCAAATGATGAATCAAATTCAACAAACGCCCTTGACTTCCTACGCAGGTACATTTTATTGTTTAAATTCAATTAAAGATGATATTTGGATTATTAATTTAGAGGCTAGTGATCAAATAATTTGTAACCCAAAATTTTTCACCCACAAATCAAACACATCATCCATCTCCGTTTGCATGCTGAATGGGAATATAGCACCAGCCACACATATATGGACTGTTCAATTGAGTAAATACCTAATCCTTAAGAATGTCTTGTTTGTTCCAAATTTCCAATTCAACCTCATTTCCATATCCAAAATTTGCACTGATAATGACTGTATTCTAAAATTCCTTTCTAATACATGTGAATTTCAGGACCCTTTGACTAGGACACTAATAGGCTTGGGTAAAGTAACTAGTGGCCTATATTACTAGATTCTCGATGGTATTTCTAGTGAATTTCTCAGTTGTATTACAAAAAATAAAATTGTTCAATGTAATACAAAGATCAATAAAAATTCATTTATTCTGCATCAAAGACTAGGTCACAGTGCTTCCATTCCATAACCAAAATGCCCAATATGCCCTCTACCAAAGCAATCTCGCATCACCTTTCCCCATAGTACATCTACTACCACACAACCATTTGCTTTCATCC